ACGCCGCAGTACTCACACCACGCGTAGCGGGCGTCTGGGCCGCCACCTGGGAAGGGCACTGGCCGAAGCTCGTCAGCCTCCTCCCCGGCGCCTTCAGTGTCCTCCTCCGAATAGGATTCGGGTGAATTGAGGTCCCTCACGTCCTCGGCCGCACGCGCGGGTCCGCCTGGCCTGAGCGGGTCCTGCTCCGCCCAGTGGCCGGGGGGCTGCGGCAGCCTCGCCGGTCCGCCGGACCCGCTCGAACCCCCAGTGGGGGGTGCCCAACCCCCGGTTGGGGGAGAGGCTCGCGATCGGGCCGGCCCTCCGGCTGAGGGAGTGGCTCTCGGCCAGGCCGAGGGTGGGCGGCTGGCGTCCCCGCCCTGGCGGCCTGTCCCTTAGGGCAGCCCTCCTCTTCGGGAGCGGACCAGAGCCCTGTCCTCTGGAAATCCACCCGCCGGGCGAGCGCACGGTAGGTCTGGCCGACCGCCCGTGTGACCTCCGTCGGGGGCTCTTCCTCCGAACCCTCCTCCTGCTTGACCTCGGCTGGTGCGGGTTGGGTCCTCGCCCTGAGGCGGATATGCTCCACATGTCCCTCGCCCGAGTGCCTGGCTGTATTCTTGAGCCGGTCCGCCTCCGCCTTCCTCTGCCGGGCGGCCGCCCGCTCCGCACGCGCCCGCCGGACGAGCTCTCCCAGTGACGGGGGGGGGGCACTCCTCGCTCAGGCTTCCGCGACTGCCGCTCTCCTCACCCCGCTCCTCCACGGCCCCGAGCTCCGGCTCCGGGGGGGGGCAGTTAGCGCGGCGGCAGCTAGCACCCGGGCGGCGGCCTCCGCGACTTCTTGCTTGCGCCTCTTACCAGCCGCCGCGGTCACCGGCGGCCCGCCTCCTTCTGGGGGTGGCTGGCCGTGAGGCGTCTTCTCGCAGTGCTTGAAATGCTTCGCGCCTCCCTCTGCCCAGTCAGCTCCCTCCGACCGCCCCGCGCACTCGTTGCAGCAGAACCCTGGCCGCCACAGCGGCCCGCCATCAACCGCGGTCGCGGGTTGGGAGTGCTCCAGGTAGGGGCACCCTGGGAGCAAGCACGGGCGCAAAGCGTCCCTCGCCTCGGGGGGGGGTAGGGCCTGATCCGCAACGCTGGCGCCACCTCCCGTTCCCTCAGCGCCCTCACGTCTCCCTGTTGGCGTCCAGTCGCCCCAGTTCTCCTCCTCAGACCCTCCCGCGTGTCGGCTCCTGCCAAGTGGTGGATCTCCTCCTGTTCCCGCCAGCCCGCCCGGCGCGCCCGCGCCGGGTGGCCCCTCAGGCCGCAGACCCGCCTGTGCGGCGCGTGGGGGTGCTTTCACCACCGCGGGCTGCTGCTCCTCCCAAATGGGGGGCAGGCGGCCGCCCGGCGCCGCCTTGGGCGGGGGGTGCCTCGATGCCTCCTCTCCTGCTGCCTGGGCTCCAGGACCACCGCTGCCACTCGCCTCCTCCTTGGGCGGGGGGTGCCTCGATGCCTCCTCGCCTGCTGCCTGGGCTCCAGGACCACTGCTGCCACTCGCCTCCTCGCTCGCCGGTGGGCGATAGCCCGCCTCCCTCTGCCTTCTCTGGAGGTCCTCATGTTGGGCCTGACAGTAAGGCCCATGGGCTTCGCCATCCGTGTTACGACACGTCCGACAGCAGAACCAGCCCCAGCCATGATCAAAGCGAGCGCAGCTCCTCCCGCACTCGTTCCAGCAATGCGGCCCTCCATCCGGGTCACGCCCCACGCGCAGAAGAAGCACGTCTGGGTAGGGGTCGTCAAGCAAGCTCTGCGCCCGCCTTCCCGGCAGCATGCCGCCGTGCCGCTCACCCCTCCTCGCAGCCTCCTGCCGGCGCCTCTCGTCAGCCTGGTGCCAGCTCGTGAGCTCCCGTCTCCTCTCCTCATCCTCTGGCCAGCGGCAGATGCCCGCCGTCCCCCCTCCTGTCTCGGTGGCTACCTCCGCTCGCCTGAGTGCGGCGGTTAGCGCCGCGGAGCTCTCGTCGGCCCTGGTGACCATGTCCGCCGTCTCGTTGCTGTACATCCCGATGTACGGTGCCGCCAGGACGCGGCATGAGTACTCGGCCTCCACATACTTGAGCAACCTCGCCAGGTGCCTCGCCATCCGGTTCTTCGGGCGGCGGGTCTCCACCCACCTCTGGACCGTCTGGTCGCCCCCCACGTAGATGATCAGCCGCTCTCGCCCGGCTTGCCCACGGGCGACCGCTAACCCCACGACGCAGACCCGCTCCCCGAGCGCTAGGATGACCCACTCCTCGGGCACACCAGCGGCCGTCTTCAACGCCTCCACGTAGCCCGCCAACTCCTGCCTCGCGTAGACCTTGGCCGCCCCATCGATCTGCCCCGCCACCTCCAGGGTCGAGTCGCCCCCAGCCCACACCACTTGCTCCATGGTGCCCGGGATGGCCAAACGCTCCCGCGGCTCGAGCATGCCCGCGAACGGGGTGAGGAAAGTGGCGCCCCACGTCTTCGGCCGCGCGACCATCACCCATAGCAGGTCGCAACCGTCCCAGGACTCCTGCCAAACGACCTCCTGCTCCTCCACACCTCCCATCGGCGCCGCCCGTGCGGTGGGCCCGCTTGGCTGGCACATCAGGGCGTCCAGCGCCCCCAGCTCCGTGCCCAGCGCCTGGTTGACCGCCCCGGAGTGCGTCCCCCACCCGCGGAGCCGCGGCACCGTCTTCGGCTGCGCCCCTCTCTGCCCCGGCTCAAGCTCCGCCTCCTGGAGGAGATAGCTCATCTCCTGGCTCTTGGGTTTCGGGGGCGTCGCACGGTCCACCACGCGGCCCTCGGAGTCCTCCGACTGGAAGGACAAGCCCCAGATGAGCTTCTCGGTGCGGAACTCGCCTTCCTCCGCTAGCTTCTCCAGGTTGGTCGAGCTGTCGCCGAGGAGCAGCTTTGACAGGACGTCGAACATCCAGGCAGGAAGCCGCAGCCTCGCACCCAGGGCCGGCTCCACCAGCACCCCGTCGTCGACCAGAGCCTCGGGCGAGTACGCGGCTTCATCGTGGAGCTCCTCTGCCGGTGGACGATGGGCTCGGTGGGCGCCCTGCACGCCACGTCCCCACACTGCCCGCTCGCCTGGTGTACTTGTCCACCCGAACACCATCGTTTGAGGTAGGGGACGTGCTGCTTGGCGCTGACCCTCGTGATCTCACCATCATGCCTGACCTCCACCTCATCCGTCGCAACCCGCCTCAGGTACTCCAGGAGCTCTGGCTCCACCTTCCCCTCCGGGTAGCCGTCGTGCACGCCCTTGAGGTGGCCCCCGTCCTGCCCGCCCTTGAGGTGGCCCCCCTGGTCCGGTTTCCAGGCAACAGGGAGGGCTGCGGACACCTCCTCCTCTTGCCCCTCCTCACCCTCGGAACTGTGCCCAGCCAACGTCGCAGAAAAAAATGTTGACGGTGGGGCCCCCCTCCCCCCCAGAGTGCGCCGCCGTCGGCAGAGCTTCAGCATCGTCGTGGCGTTCGCACTGCTTCCAGGCCGGGTTGCTCCAGTTGCCGAGGACCCTCCACCTCGGGTCTTCCCCAATGATGTCCTGCTCCCCGGCCTTCCGTTCACGCCCAGCCTCTCTTGCAGCTCTGCACCGCGGGCACCTCGTCGCCACATCTCCTGGCACCTTCGCGTCTTCGTGCATCGCGTCATCCAAGTAGACGTCCCAGCCCGCCGCTAACACCTCATGTGGCGGGTGCCCGCCCGTGAAATCCCCACGCAGCGTGTCGGCATCCACCTGGGGGGGTACCAGCACCTGCAAGTGACCCCTGTAGAGCAGCTTCCACACGTCCCGACCGCTGACCTTCAGGTCGTATTTCACCCCCACAATGACTTCGAGCCGTGCTCGACCCCATGGGTCGACTCGGACCACATGGATTGCTGTTCCTTGCAGCGCTGGTGGCGGGAAAGTTGCCAGGGTCCTATAGTCCTTGTCGTGGCTAAGGTGGAGGGTATCGTGGCAGAACATCCTCACGTCCGACTCGGCGACGGGGATGTAAGCGTCGGGCAGCCCCATGGACGTCTCAGCCTTCTTGGCTGCCTCCCACATAGCGACCCGCCACTGCTGTGCCAGCTCCATCACCTCTGCCACCGACGGGTCGCCCTCCCCCTTTGAGTACAGGTGGGCCGCGGCCGTGTTAATGAAGACGCACTGCCTCTCCTCTGCCTCTCCTGCCTGGCAATCAGGCAGGTACTCCACCAGCTCCTCGGTAACGGCCAGCTGGTCCCGGTAGTCGAGGATGTCCCAGATTCGCCCCTGGATATGGACTCGACCACGGCCAGGTTCCTCCGCCGGTCCCCACACCACTTTGCTCACCTGAACTTCTGGACCCTCAAGTTCTCCCCCGACTCGCTCCACTCGTGACGCCAGGTACGGTCGGGCTCGGCACGCCAACTCCTCATCGCCCAGCTCCACCGCGTCCTGCAGGATCTCCTCGATCGGGGTGACCTGGCCCCCAAGGTACCCGTCCAGCAAGCGGCCGTGACAGT